CCAGCCTATGGCCAAATTTGGCATCTAGAGATGTGCTGAGAGTTCTCTATTTTCATTGTTCTTTTCTGGTCATTCAGGAATGGTTTTTCCCATATTTCTACCTTGTAAGAAAAGTGAAAATAATTGGATATGAGGAAATGTGACTTGCCCAGGGTTACATGATTTGTTGATGTTACACATCCTGACTTTTTGGCTAGCATTTTCCATTTTGCCACATTTAAGTCAAAACATGTTCTATTTTGAGATTATTTTTGTAATGCTGAAGTCAACTTAGAGCAAACATTACTGTAACATACATTGCCTTAAACATCTCTATCCTTTTTTAACTCCAGTACTTTTTTTGGATTATGTCACCTCAAAGGGTAAATAATGTAAGTATTTCCCATTTAATGTCAATAAGCTGTTCTTTAAAATCAGAACTTTTGCAGGAATATATCGGAGGCAGTTTCACATTATTTAAAATGGGAAAATTAGACTGTACTTCCCTTCTACTCAAAATCAATTTCTTAAATGTAATTAAATTGTAGTGTGCTTCAAAAAGTTCGTGGAAAGATTTTTATTCTCTTTTTATTCTATTTTTCCCCAAACTTTTGAAAATACCCTGGTACAGTGCATTACTCACTTATAAGGAACACCCTTTTTATGCTATATATTTTTAAAGTAAACAACTTGTATGTGATGTAAAAAACAAAACAATGGGCCGGCCCAGTGGCGCACTGGAGAGTGCACCGCTTGGGAGCGTGGCGGCGCTCCCGCCTAGGGTTCGGATCCCATGTGGAGACCAGTTCCCGCTCACTGGCTGAGTGCGGTGCGGGCGCAACACCAAAGGTTGCGATCCCGTTGCCGGTCCCCGGTACGGGCGCGACACCTAGGGTTGCGATCCCGTTACCGGTCAGTAAAAAAGACAAAAAGGAAACAAAACAAAACAAAACAAACAAAACTTACAGCTTAGTTTACTGATGTGCAAATAATTGTTTTTTATGAATCCCATAGCCTCTATTAGGGATAGAAATTTCACTGAAATACATGTGGTTAACGTTCATTGTGATCTTTTAAAACTTCTACCTGTGATTGTGAAGGTATATTGAACGTATTTGACTTGTAATTTCAGACTTTCTCCCCTATATAATTTTGTTAAATATGTTTTGAGTTTTGGGGACTTAGATGTATCATTCAGTATTTGCTATGTAAGAAACAAGTCATCAGCACCGCACTCTCCCGAGTGAGCCACAGGGCCGGCCCAGTGTAAGAAACAAGTCAAACCTCAATGGCTTAAAAAAACCCAGCCATCTTATTTTTTTTGAAGTTCTATGAATCCACATCTTGGGGTGCATTAAGCTGGGCAGTTCTCATTCTAGTGTTCCCTTGATTACACATTTGGATTTAGTCACCTGGTACCTTGACTGAGGCTGTTTGGTTAAAGATGGCTTCACTCACATGTCCTGTGGTTTGTGCTGACGCTTGGCTGGGCCCTGTGTCTCCCCAGCCTTCTTCACAGTTGACTGTTTAAGAGATAAGCACCAATGGCCAGTACTTTTCAAACCTATGTTTGCATGACATTTTCTAACGTGCCAGTGTTGAAAACAGGTCACATGACAAAGACTAGTTTATTGTCAGAGCTTGCTATATGAGGGCTTGGGTACAGAGAGATCAGTGTACCAGAAGAAATATAAATTATGTGTATTTTGTTTACCTATATAATCATGGGCATCGTGTGCTGGGTTACAAGATGCACACTATACAGATATTTACATACATAAAAGGAAGATGTGTTGTAATGGAAACACTTTTTGGGAGTCAGGTGTGAACTTATCAATGGGGTAACAGGTAATATAGCCAAATGATTTCTACAACACTAATTCTAGTGATGTCACAATGTGTTTTTCTTTGGTTTAAGGCATTAAGTTATATGTTTAGGTAATATTGATTCATGTTAAGTCAGTAGGCTATGTATGTTTTCATTGACCCAAAAATAAATTGTATGTAATGTGTAGCTATTAATGTACTTGTAGGTGCATCTCTAATGGGGTCTTGTTGCCCCTTATTGAGGCGTTATGGACTGTTGTCTCACAGGAAGGCTTTTTGTTTGTTTCTCTTTTTCAGCTTATAAGTAGAGAGTTTTGGGAAGGAGAATCTAGAGCCAAGCCACAACAGTTCTCTCCTTAGTCCACTCCATTCTCTTTTCTCCCAGCTATGCTGCCACAGTGTGCTATGGGTTTACAAGAGCAACAAAAGATGAATAAATCTCTGGTGAGTTTTCTGGCTATTTATTACTCAGTTTTTTTTATTGTATTATGTGAGCTTTATAGCATGTATAAATTAAAATTGAAAAGTATAGATGAGTAAAACTCAACTTGAAAGAAATGTACATTCATAAGATAAAGGTGGCATGTAGATATAGCAGTTTGCAAGACCTTAGAGTCATCCAAGTTGAATAAAAATTTTTCTCTGGTCTTTGTGATGTCGTGGAAAAAAGGCAGACAGCTTGGTTATATTATTGGAATGGAACTTGAGAAGAGAATCTGCCAAATTCTCTTCGGATATGAAGACTTGGTGGCACCAAATTCCGCAACACCATCAGTGTTAGAAAGTTTTTCACTGTTTACCTGGAAATAAACGTTTCTCACTTTCTGCAGTGGAAATTGTTACCTAGTTCTAAGGCACAAGTTGCTTAGTAAGCTTTTTATAAAGTTTCTAGAATAAATCTAGTTTCACGTGCCTTTGGAAGGCTGTACGAGATTCACAGGCAAAACCTAGAATGATAACCTAAATTACAGTCAAATTCAATGACTATTCTCTAGTCTTTTTCTAACTTGAGTCTTCTACTACATTTTGAGCTACTGTTCATGATATTCTCCTGGAAATTCCTCTGTGTTAGTTTATTAGTTTCTCTCATGACTTCACTGATGGTTTTTGCTCTTTTCTCCTGAATTCTTCTACTTTCTTCTTTATAACATAGCTTATCAAAGTGCTTCATCCTGGGCCCTGTTTTTCTCATGTGAAATTCTTTCTCACTGATTCAGTCCTCTGTAGTTTGCACTCTTCTTTGTCTCCAGGTTGTACTTCTTCCCTAGTCTTTTGATCATAGGTTTGTGGCTATTCAAAATGCACCTCAAGGGTTGGCCCGGTGGCGCACTGCTACAGTGCGCCGCTTGGGAGCGCAGCAGCGCTCCCGCCAAGGGTTCGGATCCCACATACAGACCGGCCGCTCACTGGCTGAGCGAGGTGCGGGTGCAACACCGAGGGTTGCGATCCCGTTGCCGGTCCCGGTCTGGTACGGGCGCGACACTGAGGGTTGCGATCCGTTGCCGGTCACGAAAAAAGACAAAAAGGAAACAAACAAACAAACAAAAAAACCCAAAATGCACCTCAAGGGGCTGGCTTGTTAGCATAGATGTTTAAATCATGGTGTTTTAACACCAAGGTCAAGGGTTCTGATCTCTGAACCAGCCAGCTGCCAGGAAAAAAACCCAAAATATCACCTCAAGGTCAATAAATCTAAAATTAAAACTACTTCCCCTTCTTCTGTTATATGTGTTTTCACTACCACAGAACCACTGACACAAGCCACCAAAATGAAATTTTTCCTGGACTCCTCCCTGTTTCTTGGGTCTAATTTTATCTTGTGTTACTTCCTGCTACTTTTGTTTGTTTGGTCTTTTCATTTTATTCTGATTTCTATATACACTGCCAGTATAGGAGGAGATGTTTGTACTCATAAAGACAGTAACTTTGTTCCACTAGAAATATCATTCTTGTAAAAACCTGAAGGAAATGTTTGCTGGGCTGTGAGGTTCAATCCTTGGTGACCTATGCTTCTAGCCAGCACCTGTGGTGACATCCTTAGGAGTCCATGGAGAGAAAGCCTTCAGGAGTTACTGGGACATGTTTGAACAATGGTCAGTAAAACGACATGGAATAATAAAAACAGAAAGTACAAATTTTCTTAATGTTTACCTTTTGCTTCTATAAATTTACATCAGTGATTCTATTTGTAGTTTTTCTTAATGTACAGTTATCTGTTTGCAGTTGAATATGACCCAACATGTTTTTAAACTTTCTTACAGTTTGTGTTTTATTCTTCTCCTATTTCAGGTAATTACTTAAAAATGAATGAGAAAAATGGGTGTGTGCGTTAGTCATCAATATGTTTTTAAAGTAGAACTGTAGCTAACAGCTAGTTAAGAACAAAAACTGACAAACCAGTTAACTGAACATTTACATTCACAGTCATAGTTTGAGACCTAACAGAAGATGTGAAATGCTTTCATTCTTTGTTTTGAATCTAACATTCAGTGTGAACCTACACTCTTCATGTTTCAAATCAAAGTACTACCTAAGGTCTCTAATAACTTTTTTGGCGTTCCAGTGATCTGCTGTGCAGGAAAGTGTCACAAAGCTTCATGGCTTAAAATAAGAACATCTTCTTATTACATGTCACAGTGTTTTGAGTCAGTAAACTGGACAGGGTGGTGTGGGTTCGCTGCTACACAATGTCTCTTCTCCGAGCTGGAAGAACTCTAGTGGCTGGGAACACTGAGCAGACATCCAGCCCTCTCTTTGTGGCCATGTTGGACTTCCTCACAGAGTGGCATTCTCAGGGTAGTCAGGTTTATCTGGCTTCTGCCACAACAAGTGTCCAAGAGGCCCAGGCAGAAGCTGCAAGGATTCTTGTTATCTCCACTCAGATACCAAAGCATCTCTTCCAATGTATTCTTGTAGTCAGGCACATCACTATGACCAGCCTTGATTCAAGTGGAAGGCAATTAGATTCCACCTGTCAATAAGAAGAATAGCAAGACTTTGCAGCACTGTTGAATAGACCACAGTCTGTTCTCTGACCATAAATTTCTACTGCATGCAAAATGTACTTTGCCCCTCTCAAGAGCCCTAGAGATATTTTGCCACTGTGCAGTTGACAAAAAACGAAACTAAATAAGCTCCAGTGTCCTGTCATCTTTTAAACACACATCCAGCTTACAGTGAACAGTCAGGCATGACCATGTGTGTACTTTTCTTCAGACAGGGTTGGTGAGAAGGGGCAGCACGCTGAGGGCACTGGTCTGAGTAGTTACATGTTCCCATCAGGCACCTGCTTTAGTATTTCATTAGTGCCCAGTCCTGTCCCTGGAAAGGATAATTTGTGCCTCTTCACTGTGTCTTCTGGGCTCTCCCCATTCTCTGTCAATCCCTTTTCCTTGAATGCCTCAGTTTGTTGTTGACTGACTTTCTTTACCTATTTTTGGTTAATATATGTTGGATCCAATGTCCTTTTTTTACTTTTTTCTGACTCTGGCATTTTGATACAGAAAATTATCTGGTGTATTCACTGCCATAAAAACATGGGTTTCCATTGTGCTAAAATCCATTAGACCAACCCCCACACATTCTGAATCAGGCCCTTTGTTCTCTGACCTCCCCTTCTGATGGAGTTTCGATGTGTTGTCCTCTCCAAAACTCATGTGGAAATTTGATCTCCAGTGTGGCAGTGTTGGAAACTGATTGAGTCATGGGGGCAGATCCCTCATGAATGGATTAATGCTCTCCCTGGGGGAGGGGGGATTAATGAGTGAGTTCTTGGTCTATTAGTTCCTGTGAGAGCTCGTTGCTTAAAAAGACCCTGGCACCTTCTCTCTCTCTCTCTTGCTTCCTCTCGCCATGTGATCTGCTTGTACCCGCCGGCTGCCTGCCCCTTTCCACCATGAGTAGAAGCAGCCTGAGGCCTATGCCAGATGTGGCTGTCCCAGAATCGTAAGCTGTTTTCCTTATAAATTACCCAGTCTCAGGTATTTCTGTTATAGCAACACAAACGGACTAAAACACCTTCTCTCCAAGGTGGCTATTTCCTTTGAAGTTTTATTGTTTACTAGGCACTATCTGTGTGTCAGATCCTAAGGTACTTAGAAAAAGAGGAATATTTTTGGTCTTTTATCTTTTTTGGAAAACAGTGGATTTGATCCTTGCCACAAAAACAGTTTGAAAATATTTTTCTGGGAGAAATGGATGGAAAATAGTTTTATTTGAAACTCAGCAAGTCCTGGCTCCTTCATATTTTCTCTAAATTCTGTTTGAATATTGAACATCCTTCTTTTATTTTCTTACTGACAGAGAGAGGGGGCCAGGTAGCACTTTTCCTTTGTGCCCAAAAGTCTCCTTTGGCAGACCCTGAGACAGTGAGATACCCTTTCCTTTTTCCATATTGTGGGAAGTGGTAGTGTGGCCCACATCTTTCAGTGTTCCATTTATTTCTAGTAATGTAATTTGTCTTGAAGATTCTTTTGTTGGTATCAATATTTCCACTTAAGCTTTTCATAATTTGTGTTGCTATGTTAGATATGTTTTCATTATTTTACTTTTAGTCTGTTTGTATTTCAAATGTAGTTCTCTGGACAACATATTGTTGGGTCTTATTTTCCTATCAAATCTGACAGTCTTTGCCTTAAATAGAATATTTAATGCAATTCCATTTAAACTTATTATTGTTAAGGTTTAATTTAAGTGTGCTCTTTTGCCATTTTGCATTTGTATTTGCCTCATCTGTCTTTTAATCATCTGCTTTTCATTTTCTAACTTTTTTATGAACTCTTAAAAAATATTTTATTTTGGTTCAGCTATTGGCTTTTAAAATAGTTTATTTTTAATTTTGGTAAAAAGCATATAGCATAAAATTTACCATTTGAATCATTTCTTTTTTTGTTGTCTTTTTCCGTGTCCGGCAATGGATCGCAACCCTCAGTGTCGCTCCCGTACCAGACCAGGACCGGCAACGGGATCACAACCCTCGGTGTTGCCCCCGCGCCTCGCTCAGCCAGTGAGCGGGAACCGGTCTATATGTGGGATCCGAACCCTCGGCGGGAGCGCCGCCACACTTCCCAAGCGGCGCACTAGGGCAGTGCTCCACCAGGCCGGCCCTTGAATCATTTCTTAACCTTCATGTACTTTAAAGTATATCGACACTGTTGTGCAGGAGATACCCACAAGTTTTTTATCTTGGAAAATTGAAACTCTATATCCATTAAATGGCAGCTCCCAATTTCCCCCTTTTCCCAGCCACTGGCAACCACCATTCTACTTTGTGTTTCTAACACTTTGACTTTTATCAGTGGTGGGATCATACAATACTTGTCATTTTGTGAGTGGCTTATTTCACTTTGCATAATGTCCTTAAGGTTCCATGTTATAGCATGTGTCAAGATTTCCTTTCTTCTTAAGGTTAGATATTATTTCTTTGTATGTATATACCACATTTTATTTATCCATTCGTTCATGGCTGAACATTTCGGTTGCTTTCACCTCTTAACTCTGAGTAATGCTGTTGTGTACACAGGTGTGGAAATATCTTTTTGAGATTCTGCTATTAATTATTTTGGATATATACACAAAACTTGGATTTATGATTCCTATGGTAATTCTATTTTTAATTTTTTGAGAAGTCAGTGTACTATTTTTTTTTTAATAGGGGCTGCATCACTTTATATACTCCCATAAAGTGTACAAAGTTTCCATTTTGCCAATACTTATTTTGTATTAGGTGTGAAATGATACATCATTGTGGTTTTGCACTTCTCTAGTGATTAATGATGTTAAGCGTCTTTCCATGAGCTTGTTAGACATTTGTATATCTTCTTTGTAGAAATGTCTGTTGAAGCCCTTTGCTTATTTTTTAATCAGACTATTTGTTTTGTTTAGTTGTAGGTGTTTTTAAAATGTATTGTTGATGTAAATTTCTTATGAGGTAGATAATTTTCAACTTTCTTTTCTCTTTTTTGAGTTGCTAATGTAAATAGTATTGTGTTTTTTGTTTTACTTTTTTTTTTCCTTTTTGTCTTTTTTTTCATGACCAGCAATGGGATTGCAACCCTCGGTGTCGCGCCCGCACCGCGCTCAACCAGTGAGCGGACCGGTCTCTATATGGGATCTGAACCCTCGGCGGGAGCGCCGCCATGCTCCCAAGCACTGCACTCTACTGAGTGCACCACCGGGCCGGCCCTGTTTTACATTTTACTTGGTCATTGCTGGGGTATAGAAAAGTGATTGACTTTTGTATATTAATGTTGTATCATTCAACCTTGCTGTAATCAGTTATTAATTCCAGAAGGTTTTCTATTTACTTGCTAGGATATTTTATACAGATAACTATATCATCTGCAACTAATGACAATTTTATTTCCCAATCTGTAAATCTTTTATTTTAGTTCTTTGTGTTATTGCACTACCCAGTACTTTTAGTGTGATGTTGAAGGAGCGATGAGAGGATCCATTCTTGCTTTGTTCCTGATTATCTGGGAAAGCTTTGAGTTTCTCACCATTAAGGATGATGTTAGGTGCAGTTTCCTGTAGATAATCTTTATTAAGTTGTGATGTTCACCTCTATTCCTAGTTTACTGAGAACTTTTATTATAAATTGATGCTGTATTTTTTCAAATCCTTTTTTTCTGCATCTATTGATGTGATCATGTAATTTTTTGTTTTTTCTTGTTAGTATTTTCATGTTATCAATTACATTAATTGATGTTCATATGTTGAACCACCCTTGCCTACCTAGGATAAATACCTCTTGGTCATGGTGCATAATTCTCTTTAGACATTGATTATGTTTGCTAATATTTTATTGAGCTTATTTGCATGTATGTTCATGAGAGGTAACAGTTTGTAGTTTTCTATTCTCATTACATCTTTGTCTGGTTTTAGTACTGAGGTAATGCTTTTCTCATACAATGAGCTGGGAAATACTTCTACTCTCTGCAATAGATTGTAGGAAGGAGGTATATTTTCTTCCTTAAATGTTGGCTTCAGTTCTGCTGTGTACACGTCTGGGCCAGGTGCTTTCTGTTTTGAGCATTATTATTTTCTCAATTTTCATAAAAGATACAGGCCTATTTACATTGTGTATTTTTGTGTGTGTGAGTTTTGGTAAACTGTCCTTTAAGGAGTTGGTCTGTTTCAAGTAGGATGTGAAATGTGTGCGGAGTTGTTCACAGTATTTATTATTTGTTTAATGTCCACAGCATCTGTAGTGATGTCCTGTCATTCATTTCTCATATTAGTAATTTCTGTCTTGTGCTCATAATCTTTTTAGTTAGCCTGGCTATAGTCTTATCAATTTTATTGTTCTTTTTAACAAATCAACTTTTCAGAGGTTTATTTTTTCTCCAGATTTTCATTTTCAATTTTATTTCTGTTCTAGTTTTTATGTATTTTCTTCTGCTTCCTTTCAATGTAATTAGCTCTTTTTTCCCCCTTGTTTCCAAAGGTGGAAACATAGATTACTGATTTTAGATTTTTTTGTTAACATACACATTCAGTGTCATAAAAATTTGTGAGAACACTGTTACTTCTGTATCCTACAAAGTTTGGTGTCATTTTCTCTTTTTTTTCTTCCAGTGGCTGTCCAGTATGGGAATCGAAATCCTTGACTTTGGCATTACAAGGCTGTGCTCTAACCAAGTGAGATAACTGGTCAGCCCCATTTTCACTTTCATGTATTAAAAATATTTTTAATTTTCTTGGTTTCTCATTTTTTTCTTTTTTTAGCCAATGTATTAGAGTGTGTTTTTTTTTTTTTTTTTTTAAAGATGACCGGTTAGGAGATCTTAACCCTTAACTTGGTGTTGTCAGCACCACACTCACCCAGTGAGCGAACCGGCCATCCCTATATGGGATCCGAACCCAGGGCCTTGGTGTTATCAGCACCGCATTCTACCGAGTGAGCCACGGGCCAGCCCAGAGTGTGTTGTTTAATCCCACTCTATTTGGGGATCTTGTAGTCATTGCTCTGTTACTAATTTCTAGTTTAATTCTTTTGTGGTCTGAGAGCACATATTGTATGATTTCTATTTTAATTTTCCTAACGTGCATTATGTGAATCTGAATATGGTCTTCTTATTGATTTTTTTTATGTGAGTTTGAGAAGAATGTCTATTCTGTTGTTGTTGGAAGAAGTACTTTGTAGATATCCATTATATCCAGATCATGTTATTGAGTTTAACTGTGTCTTTTATGGTTTTCTGTCTGCTGAATTGGTTCATTTTTGATAGAGGGTGTTGAAATCTCCAGTTTTGATGGTGGGTTCTTCTATTTCTCCTTGAACTTCTATTAGGTTTGGTGTCACGTAGTTTGACGATCTATTGTAAGGCACATACACATTAAGAAATGTATTCTGGGAGAATTAACTCCTGTATTATGATGCAGTGCCACTTTTTCTTCCCCTCTATCATGTGTTTAAAGATAAAGTGTTTCTGCAGATTCTGTACTTGTTCTTTTTTTATTTTCAACCTCAGGTTCATTCACTCTGATGTCTTCATATAACATGGAAATTTTGATACTTTTCAAATCTTTGTTGTCAGCTTAACTTTCTCTCTTAAATGCTGGAATCGTACAACCAATTGCCACTTGAACATTTCCACAGATATTTCAAGTATTATGTATTCAAGTCTGTTTCACTTTTGCTCGTTACATTTTTCTCCCATTTTTCAAACTTTGCTTTGCAGTGCCAGGACCTAACTAGCTGTGCTTAGGTTGATAGCCTGAGAGTAAAACTCTTCTTTTTAATTTCTGCACAGCAAATTACTACCATGTTCTGTTTCTGCTTTTTCATTCCCTGTTTCTTTTTTATAGTGTTAAGTCTCTCTTCTGTGTACTTATTTCTCTATGTTGTTCTCTATGTTGTAATGTAGTTGGTCTTCTTTCACCCTGTTTTCCTTTTCCCTCTGACTCTCCCTAAAAGCCTTTTCCATTCCCCTTGCAGTGAATGACTATTAAAATGCACATAAAGTTATGTATTTACAGGACCACATTATTTGCACCCTGTGGTTTAGAAAGTTGCAGTGTACAACCTGGTGTGGACACAAGCAATCCTTTGGCACATAGGAAGGAAATTTTGCAATGCCTTTTTAATGTACTTTTAATTCATAAGTAATTAAAAAATGATAACTACATTAAATGTTTTACTGTTTGAAATAGGTCCCATACTTAAGTGCAGAATCATTCTATAATCAGTTGCTTTAATATTGCTTTTCCCTTATGCTGCCCAAGATCATTCACTCAGACATGGTGCTGTGTGTAGTTCCATTAATGTGGGGTGTGTTCTTTGTGTTCTTGTGACTGGACTTTTGCTGTTGCCTCATATTCATGAGACCATGCAGTTCACTTGGAAGAGTTTAACATCTTTGGCATTTGAGTGAAGTGCAAACTGAGTACAAAATAAAACTGTTTTCTATTTTTTTCTTATGCCAGTCTATATTGAACTTGTGTTTAAATTTGTTCATCTAACTCAGTATTTCAAGTATGTATTTATACCTATGTCTTCATGCCTGTTTATACTCTCCTTGGAAGAGCAAAATTTCATTCACACTTTTATCACTAGCAAGAAGGATATTTCTTAAGGTATAAACTAAGTTTTGTTTTATTATTTTTATTAATTGATAACTTATTACAGTACCAGGATATTTATACTTTGATTTTTCTTCTTCCCATTCTGTGGAGTACAACAAAGTGGCATCTTATATAAGACACATACAACACATGCACACACAGAGGTGTGAACTCCCAGATTTCTGTTTTGTGACCCAGAAATGTTGACTTGAGTGGAGAACAATGTGTCATTCCAGGACTTGGTATCATTTGAGGATGTGGCTGTGGACTTCACCTGGGAGGAGTGGCAGGACCTGAATGATGCTCAGAGAGCTTTGTATAGGGATGTGATGCTGGAGACCTACAGCAACCTGGTGTCACTGAGTGAGTAAAACTCTCCAATAACTTTCAGGAGAAACAGTTTCTTATTTGTTCATAAATATAGGAACCATTTATAGGGTTTTATGCTATTTTGGTGAGATTACATTTGTTGGAAAAGTGTGCTCTCTCTCATGAGGTTCAAATTGGCCTCTTTATTGCACAACGTCTGAAGCTGAGCTCTTGCGATTCTTCCAAGGATCAGACTTAGCACTTTTACAAAGTACTACATTACTTCCCATTAACAGAATACTGCATTAACAAAGCTGAGGTGATTGTCAAGTTAGAAGGAGCAGAGCCATGGACAATAGAAGAATGCCCAAACCAGATCCCGCAAGATTTGTCAGCACATACAGTGCAGAAGCCAAAAAAAGTAAAGCACATTAGATGTTGGAAGTGTTCAGCTGTTTCTAGCAATCTTTCCTCCAAGTCCCAGACTTGAGGATGGCTCATCTGCAATCCCGTATTACATAATCTCCAAGGTGGGGTGTCCCCTGTACATCCCAATATTTTATTTGGCTGAATCTGTTTTGTATGTACCCCAAATCTTAATTCCTAAATTTCTCTTCTTTGACAGTTATTTTTCCTATTTTGCTTTATTAACATTTTCAGTTGTACTTGTCCTTCAACTCTCATGTACATTTTTTTCATACTGTATCTGTTTGTTTTCTGTTGTTTCTGACAATACCTGCAACTGGGTAATTTATAAAGAAAAAAATCTTTTTCTTACAAGTCTGTTCTGGAGGCTCAGCATTCCAAGGTCAAGGGGTTGCATCTGGTGAGGGCCTGTGTTCTGGTGGGGACTCTTCACAGAGTCCCAAAGTAGTGCAAGATATCACATAGCAATTCACTAATAGGAAAAGAGGTACAGCAGTGAGCCTTGTACCACCACATCAAAAATCATGAAGTTGAGGAAGTTTTCCCTGCATGGGAGAACAAAAGGGGTGGTCCTTGACTTTGAAGGAAAACCAGAAGATTCTGGGTGCCAAGACCATGTGAACTAAGGGTTCCATGTTGAGGGGATAAGATTGTTGATTGGGAGTGGAGTTCATAGTTAGCAGTTTTCTGTTTTCTTCATGGAAATCATTCGGAAAAAAACCAAAATGAGAAATGTGCAGGAGATTTGTTTTTTGAGAATAGAAGACCACCAAAACTTCACTACACAAAAGATTTCATAAGAAATAAATTATCAAGTGGTGGTCCATGTACCAGAAATTGGGAATAGAATACAAGTTGATTTGAGAAGGAGTCAGAAGAACCTCTTCCAAAGATGGTGGGAACAGCCTTGGATACAGAACCAAATATTTTAGAACAGAAGTGGGTGTTTAGGGTGGAGAAGTAATGTTTCCTTTATTCTAATGGTTTATGAGAAGCAGAGGAAGTCAGGTTAAATGAAAAACTTGGAGGAAGCTATCTTTATGTAGGGTGGAGAAAAGGATATTTTATTCTTTGAAAAACTTCCACATTCCTATAGCCATTTTCTAAGGAAGAAGTGTAAAGCATATAAACATAAACGCAAAATCCTTATCCTCAGCCATGTTCCTGCACATGTGATAAAAAATTGGCTCACTTCCATACCCGAAAGTGGCTGATGATGGAAAACCTAGCCATCTTCATTGTGAAATAATGAGAAAATAGCAGCAGCAGACACCCTTTGTTGTAAAAATGAAGCAGAGAAAATGGTGTAAAAAAATGAAAGGTGCTTAGTTGAAAACTACATGTAGGCAGAAAATAAAAATTCTTAAATGTTTACTCAAATTAAAATTTAAAAATGAACAAAGAGGGAAAGGAAAACATGATATAACATTAGAAAATACTACAATATTGGGCCGAGCCCATGGCGCACTCAGGAGAGTGCGGCACTGGGAGTGCAGCAGCGCTCCCTCCGTGGGTTCGGATCCTATATAGGGATGGCCGGTGTACTCACTGGCTGAGTGCGGTGCGGCTGGTCTCAAAAAAAAAAAAAGAAAGAAAGAAAGAAAAGAAAATACTACAATATTACATTGTCAGTAAGAAAAAATTCCATAAACTCATGAAACCAACATCCATTATTGATTTCTTAATAAAATCTTTTGTCACTAGGATTGGAAGGCACTTTTGTACCTTTACTTGAGCAATCAATGAGATATGCTTCTGTGTGGTTCATTAATAGTTTTTTTTTTCTCATTTCAGATGTCCAGGTAGATGATGACCTCATGGAGAGGAACCAAGAAAGTCATGGTAGTAGATGCTTGCAGCAAATTGTAATCACCAACAGCAACACATCAGCTGAGGAGAAAGTTGTGTTAGGAAAATCATTTTATTTGAATTCATATCATGTTTTAAATCAGATTATACATAATGGAAAGTATTCAGGAAAGGGAAATGAGTTTTACATATGTCAGAATGCACTTTTTCCTAGAGAGGCTGATGAGATGCCTGCTGGAAAGAAATCTAATGACGATCATATAACTGGAAAATTGCCCAGACATCATGAGTATCTTAGTCAGCATCCCAATATTCAAACTGGGAAGCAGACTTTAGAATACAGTGGAAAAGGGAAATCCTCCAAGACAGAGGCAATAATATTTACACATAAAAAGATTGATGTGGATGAGACCGCCTATAAGTATAATGAATATGGGAAAGGTAAGTCAGCTGTCATTGTCCAAGAAATAAATCAGGTAGAAAGGAAAACTCTTCAATGTGGTATATGTGGGGAAATGTTCTGTGAAAAGTCTGGACTGACTAAACATCAGATTATGCACACAGGAGAGAAACACTATAAATATCCTGAATGTGAGAAATCTTTTGTTAAGAAACTGTACCTTACCTCCCATCAAGGAACACCTATACAGGAGAATCTTTATGGTTGTAACGAACAGGAGAAAAATTTTTGTCAGAAGTCAGACCTTACAATGCTTCAGGGAACTTACACAGGAGAACTGTACTATGGAAGTATTAACTGTGGAAAAAACTTCTGTGAGCATTCACTCCTAAGCCATCCTGAGAGAATACACCCAGGTGAGAAACCATATGAATGTAGAGAATGTACAAAATTTTTCTACCATGTGTCAGCCCTCCCTGTATATCAGAGAGTTCACACAAGTGAGAAACCGTGTAAAGAACATAAAAATACATTTTATAGTAATAAATGTGGTAAAACCTTTCTCCAGAATTCACACTGCAGCAGTCATCAGAGAATTCATCCTGGTGAGAAACCATGTGAATGTAAGGAATGTGGAAAAACTTTTAATGAACACTCAAGCCTCAGCATTCATCCCACAGCTCACACAGGTGAGAAACCACATGAATGCAGAGAATGTGGAAAAGCTTTTAGCCGAAAGTTTTCCTTAAGTGTTCATCAGAGAACTCACACAGGTGAGAAACCATACGAGTGCAAAGACTGTGGAAAAGCTTTTAGCCACAAGTCAAGCATCAGGAAGCATGAGAGAATTCACACAGGTGAGAAACCATATGAATGTCGAGAATGCGGAAGAGCTTTTAGCCGAAAATCAAGCCTCAGCAATCATCAGAGAAACCACACAGGCGAGAAACCATATGAATGTAGAGAATGTGGAAAGTCTTTTAGCCTAAAAGCAAGCTTCAGCACTCATCAGAGAACTCACACAGGCGAGAAACCATACGAGTGCAAAGAATGTGGAAAAGCTTTTAGCCACAAGTCAAGCATCATGAAGCATGAGAGAATTCACACAGGTGAGAAACCGTATGAATGTAAAGAATGTGGAAAGGCTTTTAGCATGAAGTCATACTTGAGCATTCATCAGAGAACTCACACGGGTGAGAAACCATATGAATGTAAAGACTGTGGGAAACCTTTTGCCTATAAGTCGGACATCAGGCAGCATGAGAGAATTCACACAGGTGAGAAGCCATATGAATGTAAAGACTGTGGAAAAGCTTTTACCCACAAGTTATCCTTCAGCCTTCATCAGAGAATTCATACAGGTGAGAAGCCATATGAATGTAGAGAATGTGGAAAAACTTTTATCCAAAAGTCATGCCTCAGTGTTCATCAGAGAATACACACAGGTGAGAAACCATATGAATGCAAAGAATGTGGGAACACTTTTAACCAGAAGTCACACCTCATTAGGCATCAGAAAATTCATACAAGTGAAATACCAGATGGATGTAACGAATGTACAGAATTTTTCTAACATGAGTCACCTCTTACTGTATATCAGAGTTCACACAAATGAGAAACCATGTAAAGAATATTAAAAAAAAATTTACAGTAATGTCCCCCAAAAGTCACACTGCCACAGTCACCAGAGAATTCACACAGGTGAGAAACCATGTGAACTTAAGGAATGTGAAAAAACTTTTAACCAAAAGTCAAGCCTCACCATTCAGCAAAGGAGTCACATGGGTGAGAAACCATATGAATGTATAGACTGCGGGAAAGATTTTACCCACAATGCAGGCATCAGGAATCATGAGAGAATTCACACAGGTGAGAAACCATATGAATGTAGAGAATGTGAAAACCTTTAAGCCAGAAGACAGGCCTCAGCAGGCATGAGGTAATTCATACACATGAGAAACCATATGAATGTAAAACTGTGGGGAACCTTTTGCCCACAAGTCAGACATCAGGCAGCATGAGAATTCACACAGGTGAGAAACCATATGAATGTAAAGACTGTGGAAAAGCTTTTACCCACAAGTCATCCTTCAGTAGGCATCAAAAAATTCAAACGGGTGAGAAACCATATGAATGTAAAGACTGTGGAAAAGCTTTTACCCACAAGTCATCCTTCAGTAGGCATCAAAAAATTCAAACGGGTGAGAAACCATATGAATGTAAAGACTGTGGAAAAGCTTTTACCCACAAGTCATCCTTCAGTAGGCATCAAAAAATTCAAACGGGTGAGAAACCATATGAATGTAAAGACTGTGGAAAAGCTTTTACCCACAAGTCATCCTTCAGTAGGCATCAAAAAATTCAAACAGGTGAGAAACCATATGAATGTAAAGACTGGAAGAGCTTTTACCCACGTCAGACATCCGGAAGCAGGAGGGAATTCACACAGGTGAGAAACCATACAAATGCAAAGAATGTGGAAAAGCTATTAACCAAAAGTCACACCTCAGCCATCAAAGAATTCACATAGGTGGGAAACCATGTGAATGTAAGGAATGTGGGAAAACAGTTTACTGGAACTCACGACAATATACATGAACAAATTCACACGTGGGAAAGTCCCAGTTAATGTAATGACTGGGAGAAAGTTTTGGCATAAATCACGTCATGTTTCATCAGAGAACTCACACCAAAAAGAAGCCCTATAAATGCACAACTATCCCTTGGTATTGGAGGGTGGTTCCAGGAGTCTGTTGATGAAGGCACTTGCAAAGGATGACACTCCTTCTATAAATGGTGTACTGTTTCAATATTACCTAAGAACCTTTTCCCATGTCCTTTACATCTTGAGTAGAATGTATTACTGAATACAGAAGAATTCCTTATAAATAGTTGTTATGCTGTGTTGTTTTTAATTATTGTAGTTTTTATTTTCATTTTTATACGTGGTTGAATCAGATGTGCAACCCTCAGATATAGAAAGGGAGTCAATAATTCTGAAAACATTTTTTTTATTATTTTTATTTTGTCAATATACAATGTACTTGATTATTATGTCCCATCATCGAAACCTCCCTCCCTCCTCCCTCTCCCCCCTCCCACCCGAGTGTGTCCCCTCCATTTGCTTGTTGTAAGAACTTAAAAAAAAAATTGTGGTTGTTATATCTTCCTCTTCCCCCCCCTGGTTTTTTTGTTTTGTTTTTGTTGTTGTTGTTTGGTTTTGTGTGTGTGTGTGAGAGTGTGTGTGTGTGTATATGTATGTATGTGAATTGATTCATTCACCTTTAGCTCCCTCCAATAAGTGAAAACATGTGGTATTTCTTTTTCTCTGCCTGACTCTTTTCACTTAATATTATTCTTTCAAGATACATCCATGTTGTTGCAAATGGCAGTATTTCATTCTTTTTTATAGCTGAGTAGTATTCACCACATTTTCTGTATCCACTCATCCCATGATGGACATTTGGGCTGATTCCAGCTCTTGGCTATTGTGAAGAGTGCTGCAATGAACATTGGGGAACAGGTATACCTTCGACTTGATGATTTCCATTCCTTTGGATATATTCCCAGCAGTGGGATAGCTGGGTCACATGGTAGATCTATCTGCAATTGTTTGAGGAACCTCCAAACCATTTTCCATAGGGGTTGCAACATTTTGCATTCCCACCAACAATGTATGAGAGTTCCTTTTCGCGTGTAACCTAGGAAATATTTATTCAATCAACAAAAAATATTAGAACTTGCTATATTTGTATATCTTTCTTAGAGAATTGCCTGCTTAGCTCTTTTGCCCATTTTTTAAATTGGGTTGCTTGTTTTTTTCTTGTAAAGTTATTTGAGTTCCTTAGATATTCTGGATATTAGTCCTTTGTCGGATGTATATTTTGCAAATATTTTCTCCCACTCTGT